TCGAAACTCCCTTCCTATGGGCTTCCTGAGAAATTGTGCATTTGGACCACCAGTTTACTTGCTGATCGGAGCATCAAGGTTGTAGTAGATGGTGCATGCTCTGAATACAAACCTTTTAACGCTGTTGTTCCACAAAGCTACGTGCTATCATCAACGCTGTTCAATTCCAAGGCACTCGCCTTGCTGCCTCAGCTAGCATCGGAATCCTCAGCATCGACATATCAAATAGTGTGCAGTTTCATGTTTACTTGGAAGGGAAGGCCAAATTGGCCTCTAAAAAGCTTGGCGTGTTCAGCAAAGCAGGACAGTATTTCATGCCGGCACATCGCTTGCTACTTTACAAAGCACAAGTTCGGCCTCACATGGAATACTGTTCTCATCTCTGGGCTGGGGCACCTTAGTGCAAGCTCCTTGCATTTGACTGAATCCAGCGAAAAGCGGTTCGAATAGTCGACGACCGAGTTCTTTCTGATCGGCTCGATTCACTGGCGCTGCGTAGGGTTGTTGCATCTCTTTGCATTTTCTATCACATCTACCACGAAAGTGGTCTGAAGAATTGTTCGGATTAATTCCAGCCGCCAAATTACATGAACGCACATCGCGTCATAATTCACGACACCATCCTCACCATCTGGATGCTTGGCGGTTCATGACTGTGCATTTTACTAGGAGTTGTCTTCGTCATACAACTCCTCTGTAGAATTATTTACCATCGGCGATTTTTCCGGACCGATACAACTTAGAGACCTTCAAGAAAAGAGCTTACACCTTTCTAAAAGGCCGGCAACGCATCTGCAATTCCCACGGTGTTGCGGTTGTTCATGGGTGGCGGTAGTCACTTACCATCAGGTGAGCTGCATGCCTATAAAAAATATTTAAAAAGAACATTACTATACTATTAATATAGCTGCAAAAGTTACATCCGTAACTCCAGTCAAATACTGTAAAATCTTCAAGAATATATGAATTCAAAGAAGACTAGATGGAGCGCTGCGTACATTTCAAGTGATGTCGACCAGTGCTTGTCAACTTTTAGACATGTACTCATGTCCACATATTTATTCTCTCTTTCTTTACCAGCCCGTAAAGGATTACAGCTAAACACACACATATGCACCGAAAACGATATTATTCGTTGCAAATGATTTTATGTGATTATGAATGCGTTTACACCATGTAGTGGCGGTGTAAGATTATCCACTATCCCATATTGTCCCGTGGGTGTCGTAAGAGAGCCGTACGGAGGGAAACTGAAACAGGATACGGGCTGCATCATCTTCCCGACAATAACTCAAAACAATAAAAACTGCGGTTGCCAACACGCCTGCCAAGCGTGGCAACTATTGTGTTCGTGATCATTCATGTATGAAAACTGCAGGTAGGTTTTGCCGTCACGGTTATTTGAACGAAATCATCCGAAGAGGCCTTGTCTCTATAAATGTTCTATCGGTTTTAGAGCCTCGTGGAATTTTTAGAGATGATGGTAAAAGACCCGTCGGTTTGCCTTTAGGCCCTTGGGAGAGATGTAAAGAACTAGTGTGGGATGCTACTTGCGTAGACACTTTGGCGACCTCTCATCTCAAGGGTGCCTCGTTTAGAGCCGGGGTGGCATAGTAGCTGAACTAAATAAGTGGCGCAAATAAGAGTTTTTGAGAGAAGACTGCATATTTGTGCCATTTGCTGTAGAGACTATCGGTCCATGGGGTCCACGTGCGATGAAGTTCCCAAAGGAACTGTATCCACGACTGGCCTTCGCTGCTGGTGATAAGAGGAATGGTTCTTTTCTCGTTCAAAGCCTAGTATAGCCACTCAGCGAGGAAACGCAGCCATAATTCCACGGAGCAGCGTTCTTGGCATAATATCACGGGGAGTAGGACTGTATGATAATTAAAATTTTTAGTGTTAGATTTTCTTATAGTTTATTTTTAATAGTGTGTGTATCATTTTAGTTTATTTTTTTTTTAAGGATAAGGGTGACAAACGAGCACACATTCCACTTGGTGGTAAGTGGATGCTGCGGCCCATAGACATCTACATCTATCCTCTGTTACAAATCAAAATGTAGATGCGTTGTCACCCGTGAGGACTAAGATGGAATGCCTCATTTCCAGTAAAAAGGGCCTCCGGCCACCTGCACTCACCAAGCGAAACGCAGAGGTAAACCTCTACTTCACGCCGGTTTTCTGTGAGTTCGTGATACTACCCCGGTTCGAGCCGGCCCATCCGTGCGATAGCAAAAGCTGCCGCGTGGCTCTACCACTGTTAAAAATAAAATAAAATAACAACTGCAATACTAAACAAATATTTGTAAAAAACGATGTTATTGTTGTATATATGTATCCATTGTATAGTTTACCCTCGATTTAGTTGTTATTGTGTGCGATATACATTTTATCATTTTAAGTTTGTGTTCATCGACCTTAAAACCTTGTTAGCCAATTTTCATGATTTTAGATCAACGGAAAGTACTCAGGGAAGTGGTAAATTTTGATGAGTAAGTTTTCGTGAATCTAAATGCCAGAATCTTGTAACATGCATTGACCAAAAGCCCTCCAAGGCACAATAACCTTAGGATTTAATTTTTATTTCAGCTTCATACCTTTACTCGTTTCTGCGAAAAATTGTCTTGACAGACGGACAGACGATCGGATAGTAATGTAATCCTCTAAGAGTTCCGTATTTTCAAGGGGAAACCTTAGAAAAGCACCGATACTATTTTTTGTACCTAAATTTTGCTGAATACCTCCTGGATTAGTACTGTGCGCGATATTTTATAGACACTTTCATAGTTTTACTTTGTCTTGTACTTCAACTCTTTCTGCAACGATTGGGTCTTATATTATGAAAAAGCGAGTTATAAAATGAAAACTCAGAGTAAAATGAATTTATATATTTTTAATGAACATGTTATAGTTTTGAAAATTAATTGAGCATTTCAAGTTCATTAAAAGGTACACGAAGGAAAAACATTTTAATAACATCATAGAAGTTCTTGACTATACTCCTAGCTCACCAATCTTTACAATTGAAATCCACCAATCATTGTTTACACTATCCAACATAGGTTGTACTGTAAAAAAGAAAAAGTAATTAAAATATTTAATTCTCACTTTATTTCCAGACAGTAAAAAGAAAATTGAATGAAAGTACTTTTACGGATTTCATCGCGTTTAATTCTACTTATTTTTAATTCTCGACGTTTCGGGTGCTTTGCAGCACCCATAGTCACGGTATATATATTATATAAGGGGTGTATTTTTGTTATATTATTTCCAGAAAAAAAAACCTTTTATGAATTTCTAATCGATGTAAACCGTTACAGCCTATTAAATTTCACTGCTGAACATGGGCTTACCCCATAAATTGCATCCTAGAGGGGATATTTGCCAAGATGCCACGCTTGGCACTTGGCAAGCGGGTAGGCAACCGCAGATTTTTATTTTTCGTCGTTATTAGGAAGATACTGCTGCCCATCTGTCGATTTGATTCACTCTGTCGCCTCTTACAACATCCACAATTGTACGGATGACAATTTGGTGTAGTAGATATTCTCACACTACTACTGCATGGAAAATAAAAGTATAATAAGGCTTATAAAGAAACTAAAAGCTTTTTTATTGCTTGATATTTACGCATTACTGTTTATATCATATCACATCATCAGCCTTTTAAATCTTGTGGTTAGAAAATCTGCACATACCTAATGTCCTCCAGACCGAATTGCGGTCACGGCGGCCGGTTTCAACGGATACTATCCATCTGTGCCGTACATGATTATAGTGTCCAAGAGTATGGGGCTAGAGCATGTGCACTATCTATTAACCCACTCTCATAGTCCGATGAGACGGTAATCCAACATGACGTAGGAGAGTTTAGGCGCAGGCCCTTGGGCTTTACGTGCTTTCCGAGAAACAGGGGTTGAAATATCGCCAAGTTCTTGCCTCCGGGCTGCTGCTGAGTATTTCTTTACAGAAAAACCCAATAACTGCTTTTAGCTCGACCGGGGTTCGAACTCAGGACCTCAAGATTCGAAATCGTGTATACAATACGCAAACACTCTGGTAATATGGAGTGTTTACTATGTATTACACAAATAAATACCACATTCTGAGATTTTTTAATAATATCTTAGACGAAGTCTATTCAGGCTCCAAATATGTTTTCTTTTAATATATCCTATTTTATGCTACACTACTTCCAATTCTTATACCAGGAGTCGGAAATACAGAAGGCTTGGTCTCTCACATGTTATTTTTTTCGCCATCGTTCATATTCCTATACGACGTGGTAGAGCCATGCTGCGGCTATATTAGTACTATAGTTGTAGCACGAATGGGTCGGCTCGATCGGGGAAGCACCACGCTCTCACAGAAAAACAGCTGCTGTGTTTCGTATGGTGAGTATAGAGAACCGGAGACCCATTTTACTGACAAAGAGGCATTCCATCTTAGTCCTCACGGGTGACAATTCATCTGCATCTTGAGTCTTTATTGAGGATAGATGTAGATGTCTATGGGCCACAGTAACCACTTACCATCAGGTGGACTGTGTGTTCGTTTGTCACCCCATCCTATAAAAAAAATTCCTAGAACTTTGGTGCAAATTTGTTTAATGACCTTTTAAGATAGTTAAGAATAATAATATATTATCAATACTTACACATAATAATTACGTCACAACAACAATAATTTTATTAAAAAAAGCTGAAATTTTACTTAAAAAGAAGACAATATTAAAAAAATATAGCCCGTATATATCGTTAGTCCTGATATATTGGTAGCATAAACATTTATTTAAACATAATGATTATGTTTGGTTGCCTATTTGGTTTTAATTTGCAATTAAATATCTAGAATGCAACCATAAAATTTTGTATATTGATAAAATGCAAATCATGTACCTACCTATAAATTCTGTAACTTTGTACCTTTTCCATTAGTTCTCTATCGAACTTACATCAAGAATCATCAGTTGTAGAGCGTTTTTATAAATTTTTTAAAATGGTAAAGTATGAGTGTCTGATCATATTTGTCATTAGCTGTTTTCTAAATGAATCAAATACAACAAAAGGTATGTTGTATATTTTTCAATTCTAATCCATTTCATAAAACTCACAAGAAAATTAAAATTTCTAAAATAAATGCAATGTAACATAACATGCTCTTAAATAACCTTTTGTAATTCTTCATGTTAATATGTATGTTTTATTTATAAAAATGTAACTTAATATATTATTTATATTTTTAGTTCCTTTCCTAAAGCCGTGCGGGCCTAATGATTTTAAATGTCTGTTAACTGTCAACACCCAAATTTCGATTCCTTACCTCGCTGCTGGTATACCCGAACTTGGAGTTCCTGCCCTAGAACCAATGTATTTTAAAAATATTACTATGGACCAAGGATACTTCAAATTTTTCTTACGAAATATGAAGGTAGTTGGTGCCAGTGGATGTAAAGTTGTAGAAATGGAGTAAGTAAAATTCCTTTATTTTAAACAATATCCCTACAAATAAGACTAGCTCCAAAAATAATTTTCATCCGTTAATAAAACCATATGTTTAATCAGGCATAACGTTCAAGAACCCGCATTGAAAATTACTCTAGATTGCCCATTCGAAGCAACTGGCAGTTATATTTTTAGTGGACATATATATTTATTCGCACTCAAAAATGAAGGGGAATACAAAATTCAAACAGGTACGTTAATTTAATCAAAGCTAACCTTTTTAGACTTATGTACAAACATTTGTTTTCACTTAATTATACATTAATAATGGCCGTGTCATGACGTAAGAGAATCCATCAATCTATTCCGTCCCATGGGTATAATCAAAAAGGCAGAGAGACTTCATAGCCTCCGGTAGATGGTAGTTCAAAATCAGTAATCATGCATATTCCAAATGTAAAGTATTTAGACCGGTAAAGAGCCCCATTTTGAGTAGACTATTAAGGACTGAATAAATAAAATCAATAAGATATATTAATAAATATATGAAAAAGGGAAATATTCGTTTAAATGATTATTTTTTAGGGTTCCGATCACGAAGGGTAACCAACGGGACCCTAATACTAAGCATCCGTCAGTCTGTCTGTCTGTCAGCGGGCTGTATCTCATGATTCGCAATAGGTAGACAGTTGAACTTTTCACAGAATATGTAATTCTGTTGCCGCTATAACAACGAATAATAAAAATATAAATTAATTAAAAATTAAAGGGGGCTTCCGTACTAGACCTGTATTACGTTGGTACGGAACCCTACATGCGCGAGTCCGACTCGCACTTGCCCGGTTATTTATCTGTGAAACATCCAGGATTATTTTTCGGCAGCCTAACAACAAGGTGGGTGAAGGAATAGATATGAAACTTGATGCATTATGATAGTAGATGATAAGTTACTCTCAAATTACAAAATGTGTAAACTTCGTTTTTGGAAATGTATTGTAATGTATTTATTATGCGGGTTCAAATATCGCAACGTGAAGTGTAATTTGAAACATTCTTTTTAGATTCTATAAGAACAACAATTACTACTAAAATCGAGGAAATATATGGAGATGATGGCTTGAAGTACTGGAATCTGACAGACTACGAATATTTCTACGAGCCATTGAACAAAATCCACTTGGATCTTGGAAATTTCTTTTCAGGTGACATTAGCAAAGGTACGTTTCCTTTGTTTGTACTTGGTTGCACTTTTTAAAATATTACTCCCTATTATCACGCATGGTCTGACTCTTAAACATAAGATATTATTAAAAAATCTCAGAATGTGGTATTTATTTGTATAATACATAGTAAACACTCCATATTACCAGAGTATTTGCGTATTGAATACACGATTTCTAATCATGAGGTCCTGAGTTCTAACTCCGGTCGAGCTAAAAGCAGTTATTGGGTTTTTCTGTAAAGAAATACTCAGCTGCTGCTGAGTATTTCTTGGGGCTATTTCTATTTCTATGGGCTGCTGCCCAGAGGCAAGAACTTGGCGATATTTCACTCCCCGTTCCTCGGAAAGCACGTAAAGCCGAAGGTCCTGTGCCTAAACTCTCCTACGTCATGTCGGATTACCGTCTCATCGGACTATGAGAGTGGGTTAATAGATAGTGCACCTGCTCTAGACCCATACCCTTGGACACTATAATCATGTACGGCACAGATGGCTAGTATCCGTTGAAACCGGCCGCCGTGACCGAAATTCGGTCTGGAGGACATTAGGTATGTGCAGATTTTCTAACCACAAGATTTAAAAGGCTGATGATGTGATGTGATATAAACAGTAATGCGTAAATATCAAGCAATAAAAAAGCTTTTAGTTTCTTTATAAGTCTTATTATACTTTTATTTTCCATGCAGTAGTAGTGTAAGAATATCCACTACCCCAAATTGTCATCCGTACAATTGTGGATGTTGTAAGAGGCGACAGAGTGAATCAAATCGAGAGATGGGCAGCAGTATCTTCCTAATAACGACAAAAAATAAAAATCTGCGGTTGCCAACCCGCTTGCCAAGTGCCAAGCGTGGCATCTATGGCAAATATCAATTAATTAAAGGTTTTTTTCTGGAAATAATATAGCAGGAATACACCCCTTGCATAACATATACACCGTGACCATGGGTGCTGCAAAGCACACAAAACGTCGAGAATTAAAAATAAGTAGAATTAAACGCGATGAAATCTGTAAAAGTAGATTCATTCAATTTTCCTTTTACTGTCTGGAAATGAAGTGAGAATTAAATATTTTAATTACTTTTTCTTTTTTACAGTACAACCTATGTTGGATAGTGTAAACAGTGACTGGTGGATTTCAATTGTAAAGATTGGTGAGCCTGTAGCTAGGAGTATAGTCAAGAACTTCTATGATGTTATTAAAATGTTTTTCCTTCGTGTACCTTTTAATGAACTTGAAATGCTCAATTAATTTTCAAAACTATAACATGTTCATTAAAAATATATAAATTCATTTTACACTGAGTTTTCATTTTATAACTCGCTTTTTTATAATATAGGACCCAATCGTTGCAGAAAGAGTTGAAGTACAAGACAAAGTAAAAGTATGAAAGTGTCTATGAAATATCGCGCACAGTACTAATCCAGGAGGTATTCAGCAAAATTTAGGTCAAAAAATAGTATCGGTGCTTTTCTAAGGTTTCCCCTTGAAAATACGGAACTCTTAGAGGATTACATTACTATCCGATCGTCTGTCCGTCTGTCAAGACTCTTTTTCGCAGAAACGAGTAAAGGTATGAAGCTGAAATAAAAATTAAATCCTAAGGTTAATGTGCCTTGGAGGGCTTTTGGTCAATGCATGTTACAAGATTCTGGCATTTAGATTCACGAAAACTTACTCATCAAAAGTTACCACTTCCCTGAGTACTTTCCGTTGATCTAAAATCATGAAAATTGGCTAACAAGGTTTTAAGGTCGATGAACACAAACTTAAATGATAAAGCGATATACACAATAACAACTAAATCGAGGGTAAACTATACAATGGATACATATATACAACAATAACATCGTTTTTTACAAATATTTGTTTAGTAATGAAGTTGTTATTTTATTTAAACTAAAATGATACACACAATATTAAAAAAAACTATAATAAAGAAAATCTAACAATAAAAATTTAAATTATCATACAGTCCTACTTCCCGTGGTATTATGCCAAGAACGCTGCTAACCAGCAGCGAAGACCAGTCGCGGATACAGGTTCTTTGGGAACTTCATCGCACGTGGACCCCATGGACCGATAGTCTCTACAGCAAATGGCACAAATATGCAGTCTTCTCTCAAAAACTCTTATTTGCGCCACTTATTTAGTTCAGCTACCATGCCACCCCGGCTCTAAACGAGGCACCCTTGAGATGAGAGGTCGCCAAAGTGTCTATGCAAGTAGCATCCCACACTAGTTCTTTACATCTCTCCCAAGGGCCTAAAGGCAAACCGACGGGTCTTTTGCCATCATCTCTAAAAATTCCACTAGGCTCTAAAACCGATGGAACATTTATAGAGACAAGGCCTCTTCGGATGATTTCGTTCAAATAACCGTGACGGCAAAACCTACCTGCAGTTTTCATACATGAAAGATCACGAACACATTAGTTGCCACGCTTGGCAGGCGTGTTGGTAACTGCAGTTTTTATTGTTTTGAGTTATTGTCGGGAAGATGCTGCGGCCCATATCCTGTTTCAGTTTCCCTCCGTACGGCTCTCTTACGACACCCACGGGACAATATGGAATAGTGGATAATCTTACACCGCCACTAAATGGTGTATACGCATTCATAATCACATAAAATCATTTCCAACGAACAATATCGTTTTCGGTGCTTATGTGTGTGTTTAGCTGTAATCTTTTACGGGCTGGTAAAGAAAGAGAGAATAAATATGTGGACATGAGTACGTGTATAAAAGTTGACACGCACTGGTCGACATCACTTGAAATGTACGCAGCGCTCCATCTAGTCTTCTTTGAATTCATATATTCTTGAAGATTTTACAGTATTTGACTGGAGTTACGGATGTAACTTTTGCAGCTATATATTAATATACTATATTAATATATATATATATATATATATATATATATATATATATATATATATATATATATATATATATATATTAATATAACTATTAAGTTTAGTAATGTTTTTTTTTAAATATTTTTATAGGCATGCGGCCCACCTGATGGTAAGTGACTACCACCACCCATGGACAACCGCAACACCATGGGAATTGCAGATGCGTTGCCGGCCTTTTAGAAAGGTGTAAGCTCTTTTCTTGAAGGTCTCTAAGTTGTATCTGTCCGGAAAAATCGCCGATGGTAAACAATTCTACAGAGGAGTTGTATGACGAAGAAAACTCCTAGTAAAACGCACAGTCATGAACCGCCAAGCATCCAGATGGTGAGGATGGTATCGCGAATTATGACGCGATGTGCGTTCATGTAATTTGGAGGCTGGAATTAATCCGAACAATTCTTCAGACTACTTTCGTGGTAGATGTGATAGAAAATGCAAAGGGATGTAACATCCTTACTCAGCGCCAGTGAATCGAGCCGATCAGAAAGAAGTCGGTCGTCGACTATTCGAACCGCTCTGCACTGGATGCGGTCAAGGGCAAGGAGCTGGCACTAAGGTTCCCCAGCCCAGAGATGAGAACAGTATTCCATGTGAGGCCGAACTTGTGCTTTGTAAAGTAGCAAGAGATGTGCCGGCATAAAATACTGTCATGCTTTGCTGAGCACACCAAGCTTTTTAGAGGCCAAATTGGCCTTCCCTTCCAAGTAAACATGAAACTGCACACTATTTGATATGTCGATGCTGAGGATTCCGATGCTAGCTGAGGCAGCAAGGCGAGTGCCTTGGATTTGAACAGCGTTGATGATAGCACGTAGCCTTGTGGAATCACGGCGTTAAAAGGCTTGTATTCAGTGCATGCACCATCTACTACAACCTTGATGTTCCGATCAGCAAGTCAACTGGTGGTCCAATTGCAAAATTTCTCAGGAAGCCCATAGGAAGGGAGTTTCGATTGAAGCGCTTTATGCTAGACCCGATAGGAGGCACTCACTATGTCTAAACTAACGGCCAATGCCTCCACCTTAGACTCTAATGCGGCGCCCATCTATTAATTAGGTAGAAGATCGCCAGCTGATCGACCTCGACGAAAACCGTATTGGCGGTCACTAATCAGCTGATGATCCTCAAGGTACCGCATAAGCTGGCAGTTTATAATGGAATCGATTATTTTGGAAAACTAAGAGGTGATGGCGATAGGCCTGTAGTGGGACGGGGTCTGAGCGTTCGACTTTTTTAGGGATTGGGTGGACCAAAGACGTCTTCTATGAATTTAGGACTACGCCTTGGGAGTAGGAGAACCGGAAAAGACGCGTTAAAACCGGTGCCAACTCCAGAGCACACGTCTTCAGCACAATAGGGGAGACTCCATCGGGCCCACTCGACTTGTTCACGTCCATGGAGAGGAGTATTTTGCGATCCGAGCGCTGTGTAAACCACTTTGCTGTGATTTTATCCTCGCCTGGGACCTTGCCATTTTTAAGCTCGCGCAGACTGGCTATCAGGATATCATCGGAATATGATATTTCGGACGTCAGTCTGAGCGAATATTGATTTCAGATTTGAGGATTATGATTAGCAGTGGACTTAGATTGTAATAGATTGATGCATGAAATGGATGAAATTAACTCATCTTATTATAAATTGAGCATTTTCTGTTCAATCATGAAATTAGGAAAAAATCAAGATTTCACAACACAAGTAAACGAAAAATGCGAAAATTGTTAATGTGTAGTTATATCACAAATAATTTTTTTTCGATATTAATTTTATGTTGCTGCATCGACCGCGCAGTACACCGATCTATGGGAGAACATTTGTACCGCTACAAAATTTGTCCTTCAATTCGACTTACCTTTTCATTACACTAAGGAGATCTTTTGTGAGTAAAATGAAAAATTTTTTAAATCAGTTTAAACCTGAAACTATTAATAAGATGAGTTTTGTAATAAGACCTTGCTTATGTATACTCTAAGAATAAGACTGATTTATCGCTGAAAGTACACTTTTTAAGAATACAATGGAATCCGGCAAGTATTTAAAAATGGCAACTAAAAACCAAGTGACATACTTTTCGTTACAAATATACGCAAGGATCGAGTATATTCTGAATAACATTTTGCATTCAATAAATTATAAGTTGTAATTTAAATAATAAGATAATTTCTGACAATAAATCACAACGTTATCGCAATTCTTTATCTTAATCATAAAATATATTAATTATCTATTTAGCCGATTTGCTTTTCATAAGATTAATTACTAAAAAAATGAGAAAATTATGCATGAACCATCAACATTATGAAAAATAGAATGATTTCTTATATATACGCGATTACTACACATGAAATAAAACTAATTTTAACGCGTTTAATTTTAACTTTTTTAATTCGCGACGTTTCGGGCACTTTCCACTATCCATGGTTACGGGGGCGGGGAGGGGGGGGGGGAGCTGACTATCAAACACGTCCCGATGTTATAGTTAATGAAGCCTTCGAAGCCTAACGGACCTCCAACTTTTGATTATAAATTTTTGGTCCGATCTACGCAGAACGAGCTTACAGTATCTTGAAAACATATATGCGAAACTTGCTTGACGTGCTGGAGCTCAGCGGCCAGGTGTTTACTGTCACAGATTCCTTGTGCTCTCTGTAACAAATGTTTTCCCACTGTAGCTAACTGTGAAGGATGGTGGTATTTTAGAGTTTACAGAGTTAAGTTGGTCAAAGAATGCAGAGTGCTGTCTGATGGTAAAATTGTGAAAGTTTCGTTTACGTACCGCTTGTACAATCTAGGATACATAGGTGTAGTAAGAAGCGCTTTGTCCTCGAAGTCCTCCGTGAATATATTGGCGACAATGGGAAATACTGGTGAGCCCATCGCCACACCCTCTATTTGTTTGTAGAACTCTTTCCTTCCACAATAGAAAGCCAGTTCTGAGGCAATGTCTGAGTACTACTGCATTTTCCGCAGGTTTGTTGTATTCTTCTAGCTTCTTAGTCACAAATGAGATGCATTCTTCAATAGGTTGGTATGTAAATAGTGACTGGACATCAAAAGTGACCCTAGTTTTATTATCATCAAGATGTAGGTCTTTTATATTACCCACAAAATAGTATCAATTCTTTGTATGTGTTCTTGTACGTTTTCTCAGTGGTGACAGTATTTGTGCTAAGTGTTGAGCCAATTTATTTGTTGGTGAATCAACTTAGCCCACTATGGGACGTAGTAGAGCGTTCGGTTTGTGTATTTCTGGTAACCCATACAACTTCGGTAGTTTGGTATACGGTAATATTATCGAATTTACGTCGCGATTTAATTTTTCGGAATATTTTTTT